TCCAGCTGTGACAGAGCAGTTCGCTGTGGGTTCTCCAGCTGTGACAGCGGTCAGCTGTGGGTTCTCCAGCTGTGACAGCAGTCAGCTGTGGGTTCTCCAGCTGTGACAGCAGTCAGCTGTGGGTTCTCCAGCTGTGACAGAGCAGTCAGCTGCGGGTACTCCAGCTGTGACAGAGCAGTCAGTTGTGGGTTTTCCAGCTGTGACAGCAGTCAGCTGTGGGTTTTCCAGCTGTGACAGAGCAGTCAGCTGTGGGTTCTCCAGCTGTGACAGAGCGGTCAGCTGTGGGTTCTCCAGCTGTGACAGAGCAGTCAGCTGTGGGTTCTCCAGCTGTGACAGAGCAGTCAGCTGTGGCTTTTCCAGTTGTGACAGAGCGGTCAGTTGTCGACAGAGTTCAGCCGCTGTGTTCATCAACAATCATGAACAACATCAGTGTCCTCTGTTAGGCTGGTGCTTGGTTCTTGTGAAGATGGAGCTCCTGAAAGAAGAACCTCCCACTAAATGATCAAGTCTTCTCTCGTTGGTGCCGAGGCGTGAAACGTGACCTGAAGCTTAAGCATGCCAAGTCACAGGAATGCACACACACACACACAAACACACATACACACACACACAGATTGCTACTTCACATCAACTGCCCACTTCTAAAACAACACAAACACTGCGAGCTGTGGGCAACGTTGCTTCACACACAAGTTGACAAGTCATAGAAACCAGTAGAAAAACTCAGTAAATTATGCAAATTTATGAAGTTTCACAACATAAATAAGATAGAACTTTATTTCCTGCAGGATAAATAAAGTTCTATCTTATATAACTGCAGTTAGTCGATTAACTTATTCTGAGACAAAAACTATTCTGAAGCCGTTAAATTCTTGTTTTGATTTGCTTCCTAGGAGACATATTTTCATTTAATGTTTTAAAAGTGATTCTGATGTTCAGGCTGTTTGAAGATCTTTGGAAGTTTTTATTATTTTCTGTTCAGTATTTGGACCTGAGTAAAGTGGACATATGCAGAACAAAGTAAGAAGAATCAGGTCTAAAAGAAATTATCTGCAGCAGATCAACAGGATCCGAAAGCTTTTTTTAGAGAAACATTGTCCTTCAGCTCATTAAGAAGGTTTAGCTCATCATAGAAGATTTTAGCTCATCTCAGAAGGTTTAGTTGACCATAAAGTTTCAGCTTATTGCTCTTTACAAATCAGCTTGGTGGTTTTAAAATAGTGTTTAGTATTTTGATGGAATCAACTAAAGAAATGGGAACAAAATGTGTCTTTGCTGCTTCAAGCAATGCACATAAATCATTGTTTAAAAAGTGTTGCTAAATTATCAGTTATAGCTAAGCAGCTTAATAAAAACAAACACAGCACCTCACAAAGTGAGTACACCCCTCACATTTGAGTAAATATTGTATATCTTTTCATGGGACAGCACTGACACTTTGATACAATGTAAAGTACAAAGTATGTACAACTTTTATAAAAGTGTAAAATGTCCCTTCAAAATAACTCAACACGCAGCCATAAATATCTAAACTGCTGGCAACAAAAGTGAGTGCACTGCTAAGTAAAACTGCCCAAATTTTGTCCAAAGTGTCAATATTTTGTGTGGCCATTATT